CAACTCATGAAATGTCAACAGAAATTCCGAAATGCGTTTTCGTTTCGAAAAGATTATTTACTTAAGTGACGTTGTCAAACTAGTCAGCCTGCAACAAAATTCTATAATAATTCAGTTACGTCTGCATGCCGGCTATTGAATGAACTTCCTTCCGGCTGCCTGCAAAAACAACACTCTGCAAAAGATGACTACTTTTGTAGTATGAATTTTCCTCTTTAATTGTCGATGTCCCTAAAAGTCCAATTATATTGCATGGAAAACATGCATAAAATATTCATTCTTTCGCTCATTCGGTAGAAAATTAGGTCTTCTTCCAATTTTATACTTGAAGGCGGGACACAATTCAATTTTAAAAAAGTTTTTTATTGTGAGACATTTTAATACCGTGAAATGGCCGTTCATAAAACGTCATGTCTCTGCATTTACCAATGTGACTTGTAAAGTTAACAATATTGCTCAAATCCACTGCTTTATTTTATGAACCTCATATGGTCTCCTCTTAATACCGCAGAGAAATGTGTGGTGTTCCGTAGGCGGAAAATATATGACTTGTAGTTCGGAAACCCTGAATGCAAGTGTGACGGCAGAGCGGGTTCAAAATAATTCGAAAATTGGAAGTTTTTGAAAACCAACTATTATCATTTCTTCGAGTATAAAATTGGAATAAGATGTAATTTTCTGCCGAATGAACGGAAGGATGAATATTCTTATGCATGTTTTCTATGAAATATAATTGGACTTTTAGGAGCATCGGAAATCAAAGAGGAAAATTCATGCTTTATAAGTAGTCATTTTTTACAGAGTATAGTTTTTGCAGGAAGCCGGAAGGAAGCTCATTCGAGAGCCGGCATCCTGAGGTAACTGAATTTTTATAGAATTATATTGGAGACGATTTAGTTTTACAACCCTGCTTAATTAATCTTTTCGAAACGAAAAGACATTTCGGCATTTCGCTTGACATTTCATGAGTTAATCCACATACTGTAGTGACTATGTACTGCAAATCGACGCGCAATTACTTTGGTCGTGTTTTACTTATGATTGGCGTCACATCGTAAGCTTTTCAAGCAACATTAGCAAATGCAGATGCATGCGGTTTTATGAGCGGCGTTTCACCGTATTAAAAAAACTCATAATTAGAAGCTAATTTAAAACCGAATTATGTCCTTTCTACGAGTATAAAATCGGAAGAAGAAGTAATTTGTTACCGAATGCGTAAATGAATATTTTTATGCATGTCTTCTATGAAATATAATTGGATTTTTAAGGGCATTGAAGATCGATAAAAAAATTCATGCTATTTAAGTAGTTATTCTTCACAGTGTGTGGTGTTTGCATGCTGTCGGAAAGAAGTCC